AGCGTGGTGCAGGCGGAGTCTGGAATGATGCTTCTCTCGATGCGACGTAAATATCTCACATCCAAACTTTTGATTAAAGCACAAAGTTTAGGCGAACATGTGAGGCTGATCCAAATACTTCTTTGATATTCGAGTACTGGACTGATACAACCACGCAGAGCGAAAAGATGGACAAGAATATGTTCTATTTGTGATTTGCCTCATTAAAATTTTGGAGAATCTTAAAAGAGACTACGATGGGAGGACATATATTACTTTATTTATTCACAAAATTTTTAATCATTTTTTTATAACAAGTCTCCCAGGCAACGGCCGAGGATCACTAACAAACAAAACACGAATCTACTTTGATTCGAACACAAGAGAAAAAGAGGGTGAAATTATTGTACATACTAACGTGATTATGCCAGAGAGAGGGCACCACAACCGTTGTAGACAACAATACAAATCACACATTTCTATTTCAGAAATTCGACTTTGACAATTGCCAGGAGCTGTATAACAGCGAATTCCTAGATTACATCAACACAAACTATGCAATTCATACAATATTGTATCTTATAATTTCGATAAAATTGGTTTTGTTATTTATCCTTCATATTCAAAATATTTTATGTAAAGTTTAAATAACTTTCAACTTTCTCAAAAAATAAAATTTAAATAGATAAATAAATTCTCAAAACAACAATTTATAATCTCAGAAATAACTCTTTCAGTTATTGGGAATGGGATGCCAAGGATTTATCACATGTGTTGTTTATTTCGGTATTTTTCCAATCTGTTTTGGTATCGCTCACTAAACGTCGAGATTTCACATTCCACTATGTTAATTTGGAGGTAATTATCTTTAACGTCATTTAGCACATACCAGGAAGCTTACACCAGGGCACGCAGATATTTCGAATAGAAACGTTCAATAATGTCAATGTTTGATTGTTCCCCAAAGCTGAATGGATATTAATATTTTATTTTCCAGTGATAGCTGGACATAACGACTCTTGTCCAGCTATCATTGGAAAATAACGTGATAGGTTCTCATTTGTTAAAAGTGATGTCAATCTTCTAGTAAACTAACAAGTTTTAGGATTGGTTCACTTTGAAATTTTGTAATCTAATATAAAAATCAGTTGCCTTAATCAAATAAGAGCATGATAACATCAAGTAGTTAAAACTCTTAAAATGTACAATGCAAATTGTTACTGCTGTTTTAATGAAGCTAACAATGAAATTTATCTAGTCTGCTTATATAAATTACTGAAAAGTTACTCAATTCATTACAATATTTGTCTGGAAATACAATAAATTATTAAAAATTGTGTTAGACAATATTCCAATACACAGGATAAAAGAAAAACTCAGATTCAAAAAATAACTCACTGGCTTACTGAGAGAAAAGTGTCATAATTGATTTGCGACTAAGCGACTGTCCCGATTAATCGTTTGTATTTGTGGAAGTAAATTGTTATAGCGCAACATGCGAAGCTAGCTAAAAAACGAAATTTTGTACGAGTTATGCATGGAAAAAGTGACTTGAAGTATTGTACTTAAGGAGTTTTAAGAGGAATTAACCTCATCTTGAACTAACCGATTTGTTCCTGAAATCGCGCAACTTGGTCCATCGTACAAAACAAAATGAAAAAAAATATATTGTAAACATATTTTAGAAAAATTCATAATGGCATTGTGATAGTGTTATCTTTAAGAAATTGAACACCTTTCTTGATAGTTTTAGTATTAACGATGAATCTTACATTCTACAATCAATCTTAGAAAAATATGACTTAATTCTTGATTCAGCATTTATCATAAATACATACAGGCGTCCCAGAATTTACTGGATTTTCGGTTCCACGTAAATTTATTTACGCGAATGAAAATCGCCTAAATAAAATTTATAAGTACAAAAAAATTGAAATAAAAGTTTTAAGTTTTGTAAGTACATATTTATTGTATAAAATAATATTATATCAGAAAACAAGAGTACATTTTATTTAAGGTCATTGTCGTTATTTAAAACAAACAACCTTTTCTATTTTACTATCACAAACTTGTTATCTTCATCCCTTGGCATATTTAGAAGTTCTACTTCATTTTTACTATTAATGTATTTTTTTTCGGATGATTTTTATTGATATTTTCTGGCCGCATAAATTAAATCTGCGCATAAAAAATCGCGAAAATACAGTTCTTATTTACGTCTAAAAAAATGCGTAAAAATAGTGCCATGTAAATTTTAATATTCTGACGGAATTTTAATGCAAATTCAGATCTTTAAAAACTTTTTATGCTTTGCATGCTTAAAGTTTCAACGAGGAATGTTAATAAAAATATTGTTTTGGAGAACAACGTGCTTCAAAATCTGCAACCCTTTAACATCCGCAGCCCAGCGAAAATAGAAGAAATATTTTGCAGGGCGGTGATAAAAATTAGATTGATTGTTCTATTTTTGCAAAGATACACAAATGAAACACATTTTACTGAAACCGGCGCATTCACAAGAAAAATACATGCGTCGGGCGTGTTGTTTCATATTATTTGCAAGTTTGTGTAATATTGGTTGCCTAGGATCCACACCGATTACTTCATGATTGATTAAAAGAAGCTTCCGATGAATAACTATTGTTTTATATAATAGTACTGTTTTGTTATTTTATGGGATCATTTACAAACAACGGATAAATAGAAATTCAAATCTGTTGAGTATCAGGACACTAAGGTATAGAAGGAAACGAAAGGACAGATCAAACGGACATCGTTAACATTAAGTATTAAGAAAAACTCCATTGATAGTTTTATAGTTAATACTATTACCGGAGAATTTGGGGCCCCTAAGCTTGATACGTCTGGGCCGTCGCCCCCAAGACTCCCTTGCTGTGGCTATTTCTACTCCATGAAAAATGTTCTACTATCGAGAAATGACACCAAAATGTTAATTACTATTTTTCTAAGGGACATTTAACAAACAAGTAATGTTGAAAAAAGTATTGCGTTTAATTTATATAATACTATAATACTTCTGCTATGAATTTTAATACATAAAGGCGATTCCGCTTAATTCTGACACTGGTTAATCGGGTCAGTCGCTTATTAGCGACAAATCTTAAAAACGGTGCAACCACACCACATCTATGGATGTTGGTATGCGTCATATGCGCCCAATGCTCCGCTTGTATTATTGTATTATTTTGTGCAATTTATTAAATAAAATATTAAAAAACACTTGGACCAGCCACTTAATCGGGTCAAAATGTATTAGATACGTTGTGTCCCGATTATTTTATTTCAGTTTCAATTCATATTGAGTTCAAAGAAATTTGGAAACTTTTAATATTTTAATTTTCAAATTTCACAGTTAATAAATGTATTATGTATAAATTGTTATTGGGTTTAAATTGAAAATTAAATGCATATTTCTGAGATGTTTATTTAATACATACATGGTTCCAACTTAAAATAAAAAGGAAATTATTAAATGCAAGGAAACATAAATACAATATAAACGTAGTTTATTAATAATATTATATGTTGTCAGTACAATTTTAAAATATCTGATCCAGTAGAGTTTTCAAACCGATCTCGTTTTTTTTTTGTACGGTTAAACCATTGCGGTCTTATATAATCGATTTTCTTCCCTTCTCAAATCACTATTACGAAACAGTCACATTATGTTTTGCAATATTAGTTTATAGTTTTGTAAACCGAAATGCTGGTTAATTCTGTTGATGTGTGTATGTGTTTTTTTTTAAAGGTACTCCTAAACGCTAGAATAAAATAATGATTATCATGTATCACAACACTTATAAGCTGGTTATTAAAGAGGAAGAGAAAGATAAAGAAAGACATAGAATTAAATAAATTGAAATAATAAAAAATAGATTTCTTTTCAGGAAATTTATATACATTTTAATACTGTGAAATTGTGTGTGTTTGTTTAGCAATGTTTTGAGAAGAAAGCCGATCCTGCTATTAGGCTTAAAATATTTACATTCAAAAATTAGCGAGTATTACATGTACGTATTCATGGCAGGTTACATCAAGGGGATATTCATATACAATTAGGGGGAGGTGGGGTTAATTATCTAAATTTTGTATTCAACACTTGAAAACACACATCGTACTTTCATTCTTAGCGATTTTCGTTAAGGGCTTAGATATATAAATACGCCTTTAGATACATCAATTACTTAAGCAAGATTACTAAATAGTGTTTTCAAGGGTTTGGCTTGAAATAAATTATCAAATATATGTTTTTGGACCCTCATACAGAAAAACAACGAAAATATATTTGATTTTTTTTTGAAGTAAATTCTCAACTTTGTTTTTTTTTGTTAAGCTTGAAACTAAAAGAATCATTAATTACAAAAATAGGAATATTGATAAAACTGGTGGTTTTGATCTTTGGTCACAAGCAGATTATGTTCATGCAATTCAAGTATTGGAAATTACATTAATAAACGACTTGAAATTATTTCTTCTTTGTTGTTGTTACAAATTGTGTCATTTTTTCAATGTGGGTGGACATAATATATAATTAAATGGGATTTTTAAACATAGAATAAGACCACTAAACATTTACATTGTTTCTTATTTAGTTTATATAAGATTCTTACATATACGTATATATATAATATTTTTTTGTTGTGGCACTATGTTTACGAATATATTTATCTTAATATTATATAGTCCTATAATTAAACGACGAATGCGCTTAAACTGTGATAAATTAACAAAAATATCAATATCTCTTAGTTGCTATACTTATCAATTAACAAATAAGATAATAATACCACAAAATACTATAAACTAAAGAGGTAGATTAAAAGAACAAAGTAAAGAATACACACAACAAATTTTAAACTGAATGGATACAATGTTACAATAAAGCGTATTATTCATTCACACTACTTTTTGATCAATTATGTACATTGTTAACCATATAGCTATAATATTTGTTTTTACACTTACGCTCTAATAATCTATAGTATATAGCTTAGGGTTGGCGAAAATTATTATAAAGACACATCGAGTTTTCCATTTTATATAGTGCATATATAGTAAGAATATATAATATAATATTGCGAGTTTTACATCACATTTTCATTAAGCCAATCAAATATTTCTGTCTAAAATGCTTATTTCGAAATATAATAATAATTAAAAGAAGTATTTACTGATGTGGTCATGCATAAGTCATTCATTAATATATACAGTGGAACCTCGTTTAACGAGCAAAACAAATTGTAAAACAAATACTCGGTCGATCAGCGACGTTTTGAATAACGAGTGACATTTTCCACACTTGTATTCATATATTTTATTTATGTTTTTTGTGTAAAGTTTAAAAACTCTTGCAAAAATGTCTCCGAAGCAAAAGCCGCAAGAAGACAGCCATAATAAAATAAAAAAGAGAAGTTAAAAAGAGTTAGGTATATATCATAAATAATAAACTTATTATTTCATTTTTTTCTTTTCTGCAAATCTAATTCGCATTCCAGGTTTGCTTCATTTCGCGATAGAAGAAAAGATGTAGATGACTATGCTCGTTTCGCTAGGTTCCAACTGTATTACATTTCATATAAATAATAATTAAAATGTATTGTATACCTACATACAAAGTAAGTTCTCATAAACTAAAAATATATTTTTATACTTAATTGTGATAAAACTGTGATGTAAAAAGCATTACAATCTATATAGTTATAATTAATTCAATAATTTTATTGGTGTGATACCCATTCAGTGAATCCATAATATATTAAGTTATGCTTTGTTTTATTTCAAAGTTAAAATCTCATTTTTTTCCTTAATAATTTTATAAAATATAGTATTCTTCTTAAATGTTGTACACTCGCAGAGGAGGTCCATAAAATTAAGCGAAGAGGACCATTACAATTGTTGCGATTAAGGCCCAGGCGAGGACATCGCAACGAGCGCAACTTGTCGACGAAAACATTCTCACCCCAAGGTCCTGGATCTCGTTCTCTAAAAAAGGTTAATTAAATAATGAGATTGTGTAAAATATAATTATATATATATATAATATAACTAAAAATAATTATAACATAACTCGAGTAATTTGTATGTAGTGGATTTTTTATAGATTTTTAGAATTTTAATATGAGATTTTCCAAAGTTCTAATAAACACGATCTGAATATGGTAAGGTGGAATATGATATGGTAGATTATTCATGGATATTGTTAGTATTATCAACGAGGAATATTAACATTAACATATCCAGAATTAATCATTTGTTGATTGAGTATTTAAGTTCAAGAAATAATTGATAATTACTGAAAAGCTGTATGTTACTATTACGCTAAATAAGATTAGCGTTTGTCAGTAAAACTTAATAGTCAGGATCTACAGAGATCAACTAAAAGAAACTACTGTAGAACGCCGATTATCCGTGGCAATTCGGGAACTTTAAAAACGGATAATTGAAAAACACAATAAATACAAACATCGCTTTCATTTGCTTTAAAAACTAAATATCTATGTAATTTTTAATCTTTTTAAAAGGTAATTTGTAATGTTTTATTATTTAACTTGATTTACTGAATAGCAGATTATCAGTTTTATTATTTAGCTTATAATATAAGTAAACACTAAGACCACGGTTAATAAAATAATTTAAAAAATAATAAGTACTAAATTTTTGTATCCTGTTGTCAGCTAAAATCTTAAATTTCTTCTATTTTATTTTAAAAATTATAAAATGAATTAAATATTAATTTTTAATATATAATAATTAATATAAATGATAAACTATGACGAAGGTCTTACCATTGTAAATGTGTTTTGGATCTTGTGTTCTCTCAGGGTATGTCATATCTAGTTTGAGGTTTGCATGGAAAAAAGGGCGGAAAAATCAGAAATTAGTTTATATACAATTTTCTGTGAATGATAAAAAAGTGAAATAATAAAATATGAAATCGTTGAAAATAAAATGAAATTGAAACAATTTCAGTTTAGAGAGAGAAATATATATAGAGATAGAAGGAGTAATAACGATTTCTGTCGTGGATGCGGTGATTCTATATCTTCGTCAATATTTTTTCCTTTCTAGAAGAGCGCTTACCGTTGTCGGTGGTTTGGAATGAGAAGGGTTCGGAAATTGGACTCCAGCCGAATCTGTTGCGTGCTTGTACTTTGGCTTCGTAATTTTGTCCAGGGTCGAGTCCTCTGATAATGTAACTCATCGATTGAATGCCGGCACTTTGGTCCTTCTGATTGGGCATTGCCGGAAGGATGACATCTCGCCAGTCTGAACGTCTATCGATAAATGTGCGACCGAAGACCGTGTAACCACCTCCAATTGCAATGTGCGTCTTGTTATCCTATTATTTTTATTCAACATGTTAATCAAAAGATAAACATTATTAACACGTTAACCCTTACCTTTCCTGGGAATTTCCTTTGGCTCTGGTGGTGCAGCGGTTGCGGATGGCCATCATCGTTAGGATTTTCTGGAAGTCTTCTGAACAGCAGTTTGTATTCTTCGATGGGACTAGCGGACTCTACAGCCCAGCTAATGTTGTAACTGTCGCGCCATTTGCCTCTGGAAGCGCTACTGAACTTTGCTGAATTTGGTTTTCCTGAATACGAAATAATAAAAGAGACTAATTAAAAGCGCACGAGCATGTTAAAATTAATCGTAAAATGTATGCAAAAAGTAAGGAAACCGGCAGACTTATATGAGCATCGTAAAAGATTTTTACAATTTACTTATTTTAAATAAAATTCCGAAACAAATTTTACGTCCACGTCCATAAGAATTTTTCATGTGCCATTCGCACGCTGTACATGCGTTCTCTTCAGTTTACGTCACGGTAAAGATTATGCGCGCTCTGTGAATGAGAAGGACCCTGAAAGATAAGAAAACATGCTAAGGCCGAAGCCGTTAATTCCAAAAAGCTCTCTGGCTACAGCCCTTGCGAGAGCTTTCCACTTTGATCTTCTCAACGTTATTGAGTCTGACTATACTTCCATGTACATATCCACAAACAATCAAATTTAATTACTCAAATAGAAAAGGATAGTATTTCAAGTACATTTACTCTTATATTCACTGTTATGATAGTGTTAATAACCAATTAAATAATATTAAATAATAATAATATATTATTTAGTAAATATATACCGATATTTTCAGATATTATTAAATAAATTATCTTAATAATTTTATTTATGATATGATCACTTATATTGGGAAGTAATTACATATATTTTATGATAATTGCTAAATTCCTTATATCTATTGAAACACATTATTGTTACGAAGACAATGGTTAATGGTGTATAGACGGCCATTGTTTCAAAATGAGTGTGTTCCTATAATAAGGGACTCAATGGACTTAATTGAGAATTTAGTCCTATCATGCTCTGTCAAGATACATCAAAGATATGCGACTCAAATATAAATTTTATTATTAATAGATTACAAGATTTACAGTGGAAAAAGAGGTATGAGTATATTTCTGATAAAAAATATAGAAATTTCAGTAACTTTCTGTATGAAAGGGAAAATAATACACAGAACTTTCCGAACTACAAAATATTAAATCATTTTTATTGTCAAAGAATATCAAAACGAGGTTGTGGTGGTTTTTCATATATTCTTCAAATACCAATACTATACCAATGTCTATGTCTACTGTAAAATGTGAAGAGTTACTATAATGATATGGAAATATATATTATCAAAATGAGTAGCAGTTTTTATAGAGAAGAAATGGAATTGGGACTATGTAAGCAAATAATGGAAAATTTAAGTAAATCAGAAAAATAATAGTAAGTATAAACAAGGATTTTATGTTTCAACATAATATTAAAAATAAAATACTACTTCTACAAAAATAAATATATGTATATAAAAAACTTTTTCAAATCCTTACAATAAATGGTATTTACTTCAATTAATTATTAATAATTAATATGAATTCCAATTTATTTAAATATACATTATTATCAACACGTGAAAGCTCTCATAATCGCTTAAATTAATATATTCCCCTAAAATGAATTATCAGTGTAATAATAAAACGCAATTAAAATTTAATTAAATCACACATCCAGAACGAAATTTCGGAATATGTGAAATATGATAAAAATAACTCGAGTGAAAATATAATCATCATATTATAGACATAATAACTAATGTATGTATTCTGTAAATTATTTTTGTAATGTTATAATACATTCTATTTTTGGTAAAAACATGTTGTAATAAATAGTTTCGTTTGTGCTAATGGACATGATCTAGCATATATTTAATATATAAATAGAGAGAATAAGAAATTTACCGGTTTAAATGAATGAAAGAATATAGACATAAAAAAACGAGAGGGACAGGAGATCGATTTATCGAGTCTGCAGGACGAGCTCTCTCGTTTAAATAGATTACATTTTACCCAATCAAATCAATCGGGATGAGAGAGAGAAAAAAAAATCATCGGGAGGTAAAAATCCAGCGAGCAGAGTCCGGAATATATTTATACTCGCTTTTTTTTGTTCTCAGAGGAAACGCAAATATCATAGAACCTGTATTCACGCTATTCCATTTATTATTTTCTATTTATAAAGTTTATCAGTAAAAAGATATGTTTTAATCTCAATAAAAATGGTTTTATAGAAAAGTTGAGATTCGAAAACCGATTTTTTAAAGAGTCAGTTTTTGAATAAACCCTTCAAATATTCTCTGATAATAATATGTTTATTTATTGCTCTTAAATATCATTCCAATAGTTTACAGTGGAAATGCAATTTGTTACCTGTGAGCTGTAGACTTTTTCTTGTTTTGCCCAATTGGTTGTCCGCAACGCAAGTATAATTTCCGAAATCGGATCGGTGTACTTTCCGTATAACAAGGGTGTGCCTGGATCCGCGGGATTCCATTATTCGGCGTTCGGTCGTGTCCAGTTGCATCGTGTCGCGATACCATAAAACCTGTAACAGAATACGCATCGTGTATAATATAAATCCGAATTCTATTTACATATCGTAATAGGGGACATAGACAGATACACACACTCAGAGACATTGTCCCGCATAACCAAATCACAAACATACAAATCAAACTCTCCACTTATCTATTCCTCAATAGTCTTCAACATTTTAATCATTAAACATTCGATTTTTTTTATGTTCAGTTTAAATAATGTATGTTTTCTATAGTTAATAAAATGAATGCTAAAAGTTGTAAAATATAAATAAATCATTAATTTGTATGAAAATTGAGTATCAAATATTTTTAAAATAGCTAGCAAGTTTTTAGCAATATAAGGTAAGAATCAAGTTATATACGGTTTACAATTGCAAAACGTCTAACTTTCTCGTGCTATTTCCCGGTTAATCTCGATTTTGTGTAATTTTCCCGTGAAAAGCAATTAAACTTGGATACGATAATATTTATTGTTGATATCAATTCCGGGAAGTGAGTAATATCTGGCTGGATGAAAGATGAACATTATGAACAACAGCTTAAATCAAGTTGTAACTAAGGGAGTGTGCGGTTGGAACTAATTTTCCGGGAAAACCGAAGTAGGAAAGTTTGAGAATCCATTAGACATATTTCAGAAAACGATGGCCGTTACTGCTGCTTCTGCTGGTATAGTAGTCCACATCCATGTCGGCGGAGTTAAATCAGTATCAGAGCGGTTTCAGTGCACTTTGCGTACATGAAACTTTTAACTAAGGTAATGAATGAACGCGATTTCCTTTTAAAATTACTCTTTCCCACCAAAATGACCTAAACAACCAGAACCGAATTCAAATCTAATTCAATACAAAAAGTTTTTCTTTTCACCGTGCTCACAATTTAATTAGGTTATCTAAAACAAAAATAAATTAAATTAATATGCCATATAAAACCTCACCGGGGTTTCTTGCATTTTTGGTCTACTTTTTTTTAAAGCCCTCCCTTTTAAAATGCGTACTTTGCAAATGCGTATATAATAGGGAGTTTGGTGGTTGGAATACAGGAAAAAATAGCCCAATTTGCAAAGTTAATGTTCAGCTGTACATAAAATTCATATTTGCCATATGGGCCTCAATTTATTTTAATCGTCTATAAAACTTTAATTAAGTTTCCATGCCCATCAAATTACACAACTGCATTTAATATTTTGATTGCTTTTACGCGGAACGGTGTGAAATTCAATGTAAATCCGTTTTTCGAATCGAAAGTTTCAGTTTATTTTATTTGTTTTTACCGCTTCAGCTCAAGTCAACTGGATCCTGTATGAAACAGATTTTTCTATGAAATTGTACGTGTACTTTTCTCTCCACTTGCTTGTTTATGTGACTGCAGGGAAACGAGATTTGGATGATGTTCTGTAATGCGTGAACATCGCAAAGAATTTGTCACGGTTGACAAGGGGGCTTAAAAGAAAGCAACATTTGCATACGCCACCCGCTTCTTTTTTTTCATCTTACATTTCTGTTGTATCCCTCTAGTAAAGTTCGTAAACCAATTTTGCGTGTGATATAAAGCGATGTATGTTGTGCGAGGTGAGCGCTTCCTTTTTTCTTTCTCTGTTTCTTCTTCCTTTCTCAATTTTATATCTACTTTTTTTCTCTCTGGATGTGTTCCTGCGAGGTAGGAAAAACGCTGAAACACGTTTGGAATGTCACTCTGATGGGGAAAAGGAAGACGAAAAAAAAACGACTAGAGCGTGGCGAATAAACTGGGCAATCTGTTAGTAACTACTTGCAGACATAACGGAATCTGATCTCCGGAGCTGACAAGTTAGAAATTGACCTCCGCGCCAACAGTGAAATATTTTATCTCTTCTGAACAGGACTATATACAATAATTTGTACAATGTTGTATATTTTAATGAATATGCGAATTTACGAATGTGTTCACAGTATTATTTAATAATTATAAGAAATAATACTTATCTTTTGTTACGTACATTTTTAAGTTAAATAAAATAATTTCAATAATTAAGTTATTACAATTGAAAAATATATTTTAGCTTTCTAAATGAAATATTTGAAAAGTTTGTTGAACAAACTAAAATCAATATTTAATTGAAAATAAGTACGTCAGTTTGAACTAACATTTATATAAAAATTGGAAGTATTATATAGACGCATTTTCAAAATGTTGTTTATTCCAAAAGCAAAAATAAAGTTTTCTTGTTATCGGTTCTCCATCCGCAATTCAATAGAAACATTTTTTTCTACTTTCGTACGCTTAATTGCGAAATAAAAATTGAAACTCCGATAAATCTATCGACTGCGAGAAAGGGAGATGGCTATTAGGAAACTGTCTGTCTATTATTGAAGGCGGAAATCCTACAACCGGAAATGACTCTAACGACTGTTCCGCATTGTGTCTTGAGCCTCGGCCACATCGGATTCCCAATAAAAGTGACAAAATCGATGAATTTCCACGCAATTAATTTACCTCCTTTGATTTATTTTCTTAGCTCTCGTTCTTTTCCTTCAGATCAATTGTTAATTTCCTTCCAATAGTATGCTCCACTCGATGTCATAAATTTGATACACAATGTCACTTGTACCCGAACAAATAAATCGATTCTGTTAGGAGACAAATATTATCATTGTTTGCATTAATAGCAGTTATAGATATTTTTATTTAAAACTTTATCATGATTAATTCAAATAATTGTTAAATATTATGGGCAAGAGATATTCAACTATTATTTTATTGTAGTATGAGATAAACTACCTATTGTCTATTAAGAAGAAAATCAGTATCATGCAACAAATTAAATTTCATCTAACGTAATTAATGTACACACATACCTCGCTTTACGGACTAGATACTTTCCAGAAAAGTTGGACGTAAAGCGAAAAGCCGTATAACGAATCAATTATTTATACATATTTATTAATCTTTTTAGCAGTTTAACGAAATATGTTGGGTCGTAAATCGAAAATGTGACATAATTAAAAAAAAGTCCGTATATTTGTATAAATTATTTTATAAATTAAAACCATAAGAATTGCAAAGTCGTAAGATTTTAAATAGAAACGAAGGATAATTTAAATAAGCTCTTTTATGTACATTCGAGGAAGAAAATAATATGCTTTTTGTAATAAACAAATACAAAATAGTGAAATGGAAGGGTACACATGCAAAGACAAAAGAGGAAAATTAAAGACAGCTCTCGCTAGTCGAGGGTGTCGAGGAAAAAAAATCCGAGACAAGGGTGTAATAAAATGCCAGAGCGCCAAGAAATGAAATGACGCGAAAGGTAAATTATATTTACGAATCGAGGTAAAGAGCGAGGAGCAAACTAGAAAGGATCGAGGATGAGCACGACACGACGGATACACGATCCGTCCGTTCGCATAAAATAGAAATAAACATGCACGAAGCAGAACTGGAATTATGTTTCGCATATATATTTTGTATCCATTGTGTTATTATTTAGTGAATTAATACTTGCGACGGTGTTGGCGAAGGATAACTGCAAAACTTTTCGGACCCAACGGTCCTGCAGGTGTATTTAACATTACGCGCATTTGTCAGGAATCATTCGACCGTACAACAGACCCATTGTTATGGTAAAATCTGCGGAGACGCAATAATTCCACTGCAACAACTGGTATAACCATCAGCCTAAAATAAAATCAAACTCATATTTGAAAATGATTTAATCTATTTTTTCATTCGTCTACCAAACAGTAATTTTAGCACCAGGCATATTAAAATCTATTGTTTATATGTATATAATAAATTATTAATATGCTATAAGATCATCTTTTACAATTCTTGTTTGATGATTTCTGTTAATGTATAATTTAATTACGTTTTCAATCACATACAGTAAAAATTCTAAAAGTTCGTATTAATAAAGCATTGAATAATTTCAAATAATTTCTCACTAAAGGATCGTTCGTTGATTAACAAATAATTACGAGATGCATTCCATATTATAAAGAAGGTTTCGGAACTTCAACTTTTCAATTCTTTTATTTATTTCAGAGTAATTTATTTAAAATGTCTAATTACATTTGTCTTGAATGATATATAGTTTCTAATAAGAAAATAATATCATTTATGTATTTACTTAAACTTGAATTACAAAAGTACAATTACAAACATGTGCGATAATAGAAGATGTATGGGATGCTCTTAAACTCTAAGAATGTATAAAACTCCAGAAGAGATAAGATAAAAAGAAGAAGGATGCCAAGGGAGATTTAAAACACATACTCGATAGAGACGATAAAAAAGGAATAATTGGATTGGCTTAGGGCAGAAGCGCCAAGAGCTGGTAATATATTTGAAAGTTACGGGGTTATTATTTGATTTACCTCTTATTAGGGAATACAATATTTATATTATTTATTTAACAATATTTATTGTCATATTTAGGACCAAAGGTCTAATGACTGTAGTCTTTGCTTAATTGGCTCATATTATTATAAACTTTTAATATTTATATAATGTCTAAATAATATCGATATTTTAACTTGCATGATAACGGGTAGATACATATGTTATAAACTGATCATCATTACGCAGAAATGTTGTTCGTATTTTTAATGCATCAACATAATAACTAGCACAAACTCACATCTCTCTTTGTAATTTATACAACCATGTAGTATAAATGTCTTTGTACATAAATTTTGGACTTCACACGGCGTAATATTACCTCGAGCGAATTGGTGCAAATGACAATGTTAACAACATTCGCTCCTTTAAGTTCCTGCGCCCGGTTTCCCGCAATACGTATGTATAAAAAGTGTGTCATGTTATTTACCGTACCTATTTTCCATAAAAACACAACATGGACGCCGTAAAAAAAAATATAAAAAAAATACACAAGCGAAAACACGCGTCATATGTAAGAGAGCAAATTGTGAAAACAGTTTGTCTCTCGCAAGTTTTTTCTTGTTGTTATATTTGGACCATAGCCCACATAGTTATATTCCAATTAAGCTTTTGATATTGCAAAAGTTTG